TGTAAATAATGGTAGAAAGAATGGTTTTGCCTCTTGATTGAATGATGCGACTACCCTATCGAGGTATAAGTTTTTAATGACTTGAATTAAAATCCCATGCCATGCCCGAAAAGACCGATTTAATTTGGCTATTGCGAATAGGTCATTTTCATGTAATAGGTGTCTTTAAGGAGACTTTTTGCAGACCAAATTGTTTCCTAAATGTACATATTCTGATTGTCAGTCAGCGATGCACAGGAGGCTCTGCGCCGGGGCCTGCACTGATTTCATGCCAGTGTTGAATCTGTTTTACACTACATTCCTGGGGACTGGACATCATCGCAAATGAACCATAGGGGACGGGACAGACATATTCCTCTTTAACGTCCCTCCCTCCCTCCCTCCGTCCCTTCCTTCCTCCCTCTCTCCCATCACTCCTCTGCCTTCTTTGCTATTTTTTTTTCTTTGTGACCTTTAAACACAAAGGACTAAGTGCTTTAGCGTATGTGGGAATATGGCTGCTTTCCAGGCATCCTGTGTGTGTATGTGTGTGTATGCCGTTTTGTAGGAGGACTATGACTTCTCAATTCTTGCCTATACTCCTTTGCAAACTATAAGTTATCTATTCTCTGTCCCTTATCAGTGCTGTTTATCTCTTCTATTTATCAAATTACTTTTGAGTGAAAGGACCCTTTTAAATAAACAGCATTTAAAGAAGCATTAGCTTTATTAAATTAACCAAATAAAGTCTTGTATTGGTCTGTCCAGCTAAGTCCCACTGACATGTTCAGTCCAGGAACTTCCTGTTGCTGTTCTTAGCTCACATGCTGCTCTGGGCGCCTGGGAAATTCAGAACAGGAAATTATGTCATACAAGCACTTCAGGGTCTTTGAGTATGAGGCAGACACAATGCTGAGGAAAAAAGGCTGTCAGAAAGTCAAGGTTACTGGCAGTGGATAAAAGGGAGGAAATGAAAGGTAGAAGAAAGAAAGGCAAAGGCACACTTTCATAGAAAATGCTGTGAGGACATCGGGGTGCTTGTATTATGTGTATTATGTAACATAGCTGGCACCCTTGTTATGTAAGGAATCACCTTACAGTCCCATTGTCCCACACATGGAAGCCCATATTCACACACCCACACTGACATACACATACCATCTGTCTACCTTCCCTGCTGCTGTTCAAGGGGCTTGCTGCCTGTTGTCATATATTCTCCACAGCAGGAATGCAGCAACATGGAATAGGCAGAGGCAAAAGCACGGTAGGCAGCTTGGATTAGCTCCATCTGACTGTGTGCGTTTGTGTGTTTTGTGGCCCACTAATAACATGTTTGTGCACTAATTAATCTCTTGATTAAATTCTGCACCGATGAATAGCAGTGCTTTGTTGCCACGCTGACAGGAGCTTTGTCACTTGGCACCTTTGTGCACAAACACAGAGACGCATTGCCAATTACAGAGGGACAAACACTGTACTCTGTTTTGTAAAAAACAAACAAAAACAAAATAACTATATCTTCAAAACTAGAAAAAAGTCAATGTAAATGCAATTTCTAAACTGAGGGTTTTTAAGTTCTTGAAGCATTCTGATAGCGGTCAATTGATTAGTAATAGGATGTGTTTGTAAGTATACTTCAATATATTGGAACTAAATCAGTATTTTTTTTATTTTCATTGTATTTGTATTGTATGTTTCATTGTTTAGGCAGGATACTGCAGCACAATAAGAGGCAGCAGCATGTACTTTGTGTTTTACTCCCGCAGCTCAAATATCATTGGAGAAGGTTATGTGTTTGTCATATTTATTTTGTAAAACCAGTTTGGTGAAATGGACAATGGTTTTGAAAACTCACAACAAGTTCATATGAAAAAATTCTGATTTTGACTCTGAAATTGATATACACGTCAAATCATCATCCTTATATTCAATTACACCAGTTTTTGGGTCACAAATATAGTATATATATTTTTTGTAATATGTAAAGGGCTCAGTAATTTCCTGTAGTTTTTAGCCAAAGTTACTCAAACAGGAGTAAATGATGCATTTATTGACCATTTTTAAAATTTGGTTTGCTAGTGAGTATTTATGACACCACAACGCTGTATGTGGGATTGACTCACAGTAAACATCAGTGCCCATGTTTATTGTAGTGACAGAACGTGTCAACCTGTGTGGCTCATTGATGTGTTTTAATTTGAAAACGATGGACGTCTGCGGCACAGAGAAATAATCAAGCTTTAGATACACAAACAATACTTGTTCAATTCTTTGATTCTTCATCTGCATCTCCTGTAAAAAACAAATCTGGTTTCTACAAAAGGATTCGATAATCTTTCAAATCTCACATTCAGTGGTGTAGTATGTCTTCCTCCCTGTGGTTTTCCCACAGGGTCTGTCCATCTCAGCTGCCCTCCCCTTCCCAGCTGTCTGCCTGTCTCATCCTTTTTGCATTCTCTGACTCACTGGGGGTAACATCTGGACTGCGCTAAATATGTGAGCTATGTGTGTGTGTATTGTATGAGTATGCGTACACAATAGACCCCCCCAAACATTGTTCTCGTCTGCAGTGTTGTACAGTAAAGCAAAAGAAAGAGGCAGAGGTCAGAGTCTCCTTGCTAGGTTCCGCTGACATGTGGAATTAGCGTCTACCAGTCGTCAGGCTGTGACCTCAGGGGCTGGCTATTGCGAACGCCAGCTGGAATTAGCCATTTCCTCTAAAGACGTGATGGGGCAACAGCAGCTCTGGTAGTGACAAAGAAGATGTGGAGCTGGTGGCATTGACCAGCTTCTTGTAGGAGCAAAGAAGGATGAAGAGGTTTCAGTGAAAGAAGCAAAGAGGAAGAAAGGATGAAGAGGTTTCAGTGAAAGAAGCAAAGAAGAAGAAAGCATGAAGAGGTTTCCGTGAAAGAAGCAAAGAAGAAGAAAGGATGAAGAGGTTTCAGTGAAAGAAGCAACGAGGACAGTGGATGAAGGAAAATGTGTGAGGAGTATTTTTGTTTGGAGAAAGACTGTGAGGGGACAAGGCAAGTTTAAGAGCAGGAAATATGCAGAGAGTATTGAGGAAAAAATGTAAACAAAATTGAATTATACATAGAGAAAAAATGACAGTTGTGTGGAATATATTGAAAGAAATGTACACACGAATGAGCAAGGCAAGAAACTTAAACAAGAGTGAGGAGAAGGAAGGAGTCTAGTGCAGCGTAAGACAGTGAGAGCTGTAAAAATAGAGAGATATTGAATGTGGATCCTAACAAAGCAGAAAGTGCGAGAGAGGAGGTTGAGGAGAAAATTAGAGGGAAGAGAAAACCTGCATGGGGCATACTAGAAGAGGGAGGCAGAGCTGTAAACAGAAGGGTTGGATAGGCAGCGAGGAAGAAAGTACAGAATAGTTGGCACTTGTTGGAAAGCTGGGTAGCAGCGAATGGATGTGCCTTGGGATGGAGAGGAAACTTCAGCCTGAGCAAAGGAAAGAGAAATAGAAGCATGTCATCACCTGCACCATGAGGGCTTCAAGTAAGTTTTCAGCTCTCTGTTTCCTCAGATTTCCTCAGATTTCTCACAGGCTCACGCTGGTGAAATGCTTCTCACTGGAGTTTCTCTGTCTGTCTATTTTCAGAGTGTTACAAAACATATTTTTCATGATCTGCCCTCGTGTTGCTTCATATGTGATTTAGAGGGACGAGTTATGCTGAGAATGTTGGGAGAGGGATGTAATTGCTGGATTGCGGTGAAAGGATCGTTTCCTCTGACCGTTCACATCTCTGATGGTAAAGATGGAGGCTTTTTATTGCCCTGCTGAACTTTGTCCCCTGTGTTTCTGCGGTGCCTCTCCCATTCACTGCCAGCACCTCTAAGTGAGGGTGAATGAGACAAGTGAGCGTGAATGAGTGGGGTTTTGAAAGAAGTATGAGACACGAGCAGCGGCTGCAGACTGATGCTGAAATAAGGTGGCCGTTGGTTTGTTTTTTAATGAAAGTGGCATTACTGTATTATATTTAATAACTGTGTGTGGACGTTCATATTATTTTGAACTATAAAAGTCCTCATTTAGCCATTTCTTCTGTTCTTATTTTGTCCTGTGGGTTATCTCCTGCTGCAAGCTCTCCCACCTCTCCTGTTGTAAATGGGTCACTTTGTATATCTTTTATATGTGTATATTTATATCTTTTAAACTGAGAATTCATTTCTATAGAAGTACATGTACTTATGTGATCACTGGAACCTAGATCATTTAAATGTTTTTGTCAGCACAAAACTCTGCAGAGCAGTTTAATCAGTTTCTGCTCATAAAGAAAATGTACACACACACACACACACACACACACACACACACACACACACACACACACACACACACACTCATTTCAGAGCTACCAGTTTAGCAGTGTGAGCAATACATATGCTGATGGAAAAAGTAGTAAAACAAATGCCTGTAAAATGTCTTGTGGTGCTGGCGGCAGCAACTAATGGGGTGTGGTGCCATGTGTAAGGCCTGTTAAATACATGCATTAACGGCTTAAATCTGACTGCTGGTTATCTGAGTGGATGTACAGGATATGTAATGTTATACTGTGTAAACTTTTTCCTTTGTCCTGTCAAGATAGTGTAAGTCCCTCACTGGCTCACTTCCAGCTTTTCCAATCTCACCATTCCAATGAATTCCCAGAGGAAAAATGTAATTCTGTGAGATATTTGCTGAAAAGGTTGGGATAGGGATAACAGAAAATTACAATGTTAGGCTCCTAATTTATCTGTATATTTTTAGCAAGCAAATAATAAACACATCCAGTTAGGTATATAAAAGAAAGATCAGTCCGCTGGAATTCTCAGAATGAAATCTAATAATAATAATAATAAAATGATGCCATATTAGGGCCCATTTCAACCCTGTTTTATTTGTTCTGTTTTCAGGGTTGTCTTACAGTTTCAGAGGGTAAACCATAAATGCCAAAAACTCCCTATGATCAGTTTTTTGATGTGTATACTCAACATGCCTCTGCCTTTTTTTGGCTTTACAGAGATTGAGGCCAAGGAGGCTTGTGATTGGCTTAGAGCAGCAGGATTTCCACAGTACGCCCAGCTCTATGAAGGTAACACACACACACACACACACACACACACACACACACACACACACACACACACACACACACACACACACACACACACACACACACACACACACACACACGTGCGCACGCGCGAGTAGCCAGCATTTACCAAGCTGCCTTTTTTTCACACAAAGTGCCCCCTTCAAAGCTCTCCTTTTGTTTATTCCTGCTTCTGGTTTTCTCTCTCTGACTCTCTCTCTCTCTGTCTTATTTTTTCCATCATGTCCGTTTCTCTCTCTTTTCCTGCCATCTCTCCATCTTCATATCCCTGAGTTCTGGGCTGCGTTCTATTTCCAGACTTCAGTTCCTGTCCAGGGGGAGGGGTCATGGGAAAGGCCTTGTTATCACTGCTGGGACTCGCACAGCTTTTCTTTCTCTCTTCTTCCTTCCACCTTTCTCCTTCTTCCCTGAAGCCCACCACATTTTCTTCCAGTCTCCCCACCGTTAAAGCCAGCATGTTCTTGCTGTCTCTTTCTTTCGTCTTTCCTCCTTCCTTTCTCCCGTCTTGCCCTCCTTCCACCTTTTTGTAAAAACCTACAGGCATTCGTTCATGTGATGATCATCTGGTCTCATACAGTTGAGGCACAAACAGGAAATGGCCCCAGTAATCTCAGAAGTAGCTCTTAAAATCCAGTGACCAGCAATCCCCACACACACACACACACACACACACACACACACACACACACACACACACACACACACCAACACACTGCGTTTCTCTGAGAGCTGCTGTGAGCTCCAGTAATGTCGGGTTATGGATGCTGGCCTCAGAGACTTTGCGGCTGCTCCCGGGCACACATGATGCCTGCAGTATGCCACCACACACAGAGAATCACAAAAATAAAAGGCTTGAGTCATTTTGGCGTTGGCATTGTGTGGAATTATTTTGGGGTTTGAAAATGTGTATGTGTGTTTTGTAAGCTTCAGACTCAAATGACAGGTGTTGACAGCAGTTTTGCCACACTTCGCCATCGGTTGCCCTGCGGAGAAAACCGCTCTGTCTCCTGTCAGTCACTAACTACCAAAACTCATTCTCTCTTTTTATTCTTTTTTTCTGACTCTCTCATACAGATTCCCTGTTTCCAATTGATATTTCCTCAGTGAAAAGGGACCACGACTTTTTGGACCGGGATCTGGTGGAGCCTCTATGTCGGTAAGGACACTTGCACAAACACACATATGCACACTGTACACATATACACTCACTCATGCGTGTACACATTTAACACCAGTGAAATCACACATTCCTTTTCTCGCGTGCCCCCGCTTCTGTAGTCTGACTTGTCCCTGCAGTCTGGTGGTAACCGCTAATCACTAGATGCCTGACCTCGACCCCTAATGAAGTCCCCATCCCTGTCTCTCACCCAAACACCCATGCTTTGATCTGGTCACCTCCCCTCCCCTCTGCCACACTCTGATCTCCCATTCAAGATGCAGAGACCCTCAGGGGGCAAAACAGGGGGGCTGAGGGTAATGGGGAAAGAGTGAGGGGATGCCAGTATATTTTACCAGCTAGCTTTGAATGTGTGTTTTAAGTCCCTTTCCACACCTCTATGATCTTTCCTTTTTCACATCTCCCCCTCTTCACTTCTCATTGAAGTTTTCACCAGCATACTTTCCCCCCCCTTATCTTTTTCTCTCCTCTCTATTCACTTGTGCCTCTCCAGTGTCTATGGTTGAAGAGGGTGTGGTAATTATAGCATTAGTGATTCTTCACAGCTATATTGCAAGACAGTACACCCTGAGAGCTGTCTCAGGAGCTGTAAAACACACTCATAATGAGCTCTCCCTTGTTCATGCATCACTCTTTACATTGTTTCTTTCCAGTACAGTTTAAATTTTAGATTATATACTTGTGCTTGCAAGAATACAAAGTGTATGAAGCCTAGAATTCTAGATCTGTATGAATAGACTAACAAAACTCAAAGCTAGAAAGAATTGTTTGTACCATCCTGCAGCAGAAATACAGGGTGTGGAGACGCCAGTGGCTCCTTCTGTATATTTTTAAACTTGAATGTTTACTGAAAGACAGTTGATATGACAGCTGCTTCTTCCTATTGGTATTTTTCTGGTTTATACTGTAGCAACAAGCAATCCCTTGTCTGCCGGTTTGTATGAGAGGACAAAGAAAGTAAACAGTGGGCAAAGGAGGATTTCTCACTGTGCTATTCAAATAACAGAGGTCACAAGCCCCAAAACATATTTTTAATGATCCCATCTTGAAAGGCACCAACACAGACACCACTGTCCCAGCCAGACGCTGTTCATGTCCCCTGAGAAGGCGGGGAGAAAGTGGGTGCAGACTACACAGAGATTTTTTGGTTAGGAGGTTGCCCCCAGCTCTCCAGAGTACGGGATTGGAAGGGGGTGGGGATGGGTGACAGTCAGATGAACGGAGGAGGGAGGGAAGTGGAGGGGAGGAGCTGGCTGTTTGGAGATGCACTCCTTGAGAGTAAGGATTAGTCCCAGTGGAGTGATGCCAGAGATGGAGAAGAGAGAAATCAGGGGATGAAAGGCAAAAAGAGGGAGGGGAATGGGATAGACAGAGTGTAATGAGAAGGATAGTGTCAGAAATTAAGATCAAAGAGGTAAATGAAGAGGCATGTCTGAGACTGACTGATCAGGCAAGGAAAGGAAGACAGTGACAGTGAGGAATGAGAGATGAGAGAGTGAAAGTGAGCACTAAGAGTGCACACAGTAACAGTTAGAACATATCCAAACTACCAACACTAGCACGTTTGAATGACTGTGTGTTCATGTGTGTGTTGCAGACGTCTAAATACTCTGAACAAGTGTGCCTCCATGAAACTGGATGTCAGCCACCCCAAGAAGAAAGTAAGATCATCCTTGTTTCAACTGCAAGACATCATCTTAACAAACTCTTTGTTGTTGTTTTGCTGTGTTTTGTCAGCCGTCATGAATGGACACATTTTCTGTATCAATATCTTTGTGGCAGATTTTAAAGTTTATTAATTGTTCATTAACAATTTATTGCCATGTAGGCTGTGTTCACACTGTGTTCCAGTTGGTTTAAAGGCTGGTGAAAAATCTGTCAATCTGGATCACATAAGAGAGTGACTGACTCCAAACCACAAATTGTGTTAAATGGACATTTTGACAGGTGTGGTTAATTATCCAACCAGCCCAGGGAGATCAACGTCTCCAAACAATTAACAATTCAAGGAGTACACAATGAAAAATCTATTAAATCTAAATATATAAAATTAAAATATTGCACATAAAAAGAAAATCTCCAGTGATATATATCACATTGTTCCATTAACAGCAACTGCGGACAGCTATCACCAAGAAGCTATAGCCAAAAGACATTTAAATTTACAAGAAATGTTCCATTTCATATTCTTGGTTCTGATCTCTTGGTGTCAGACTTTGAAATGCAAGGATATAAAAACTCTTCCTTTGGAAATTGGTTTGAACAACTGCACAGAGACCCTCTATAAAAGTGGACCTTGGTCTGCTTCCATGGGACCTCTGGTGCAGTTCATTAAACTAAAACAAAACAACAGTGTGATATGGATACATACGTATATGAATTCAAAAGCTAAACAAAACTAATTTAACCAATTTGTCTGTTGATCGAGGTAAACGTTTCCCCAGTTATGGCAGACACAATTACTTATTTTCCAGGTATTTCTGCATGAGCTCTAGAGAGAATGAAAACTTCAAGTTCAGTATAAGTTACTGTCACTATAATAAAATTTTTTTGATTTTACCATGTGAACATTTTGAACATTTACCATGTGACGCTGTGTTTAAAACACTTGATTGATTTGTAGTACTAGAAGTATTATAAAACAATCAATCATGATTCTTGCTGAGTCTACGCCAAAAGAACTATATGTGTGAGCACAAACTAAAAGGGAATCTAGTAACTAATATCTAATGCATTCTTTTATCTTTCCATAGGGTGATGACTCTGATGAAGATGACCCGCTGGCTATCAGTAAAAGGTGGACATTCGAGTGGAGCAGCCGACGTTGGTCTCGCCTACAAGACTTCCTATTGGACGGCACCAATGAAAGCAGCCCGACAGGTCAGGGCGGGGTTCTGCACAGCACAGTGAGCAGTGAGAGTGTGCTGACTGATCTAAGCGAGCAGGAGATCACAGAAGTCTCCTCTTTGCACAGTGAGGACTCGGCCTCCGCCATGCCTGACTCTATATCTATGGCATCTCTCTCCGCTTCCTACCAATCACCCAGGGAACTCCCACACTACAACTCCCTGCCAATCAAGAGCAGCTGCCATGGGCAAGGAGGGCGGAGTAAAGCCAAAGAGTTCTTGCGTCGCATGGAATTAATGCGCACTTGGGGGCCCTCGACGAGGCGGAAAAGCTCAAATCGCAGGCCAGCGCTGGTAATAAGTGGGCCAGTGTTACAGGGGGAGGAGCCTCACGCTCTGCAGATGCTCCAGTGTACTCCCATTAGCCAATTAGAACACAGCCCTAAACACAACCACCAAACTGATGGTGACACTTCCCGTGTTTCCATTATAAATAATAATAAAGACCAATCCACGGTGAGTATGAGTCCCAGCAGTGAAACAGTAGTGCCCAGAGTGAAGGAGCCCGTGTGTACAAAACCCCGCATTGCTAGCAAGAGAAGCAGCATGTATCTGGAAGATATGGAGCTGCCTTCTCAGGGTAAGAGGACTGAAGGGCAAAGCCAGTTTGGCAGAAACCAGTTTCACTCGTATGAAAACCTCCTTGTTCATATCCCCAAAGACCATAAACCAGGCACCTTTCCAAAAGCTCTATCCATAGAGAGCCTGGCACCTTCCCCCGGTGACAGGAACAATGGCCCCCAAACAGGGGCCCAAACTTCTCCACCCAACAATGGCCTAGGTGAGCCTTGGTCTGGTAAACCTCTGTCCAAGCCCCCCTGTCCTGGAGCACCTCGAGGGAGCAGGGTGAGTGTTTATGACAACGTGCCTGGCTCCCACCTTTACGCCAGCACAGGAGACCTGCTGGACTTAGAGAAAGAAGACAATCTGTTCCCTCACCTAGATGACATCATCCAGCACGTCAGCGGTTTGCAGCAAATAGTGGACCACTGGAGCCGCAGTGTGCTGCCCGAGACTGAAACAGGGGAGGTGGAGGAGGAGAGGGAGGGTAGGACTACACCCAGTGAAGGCGAGAGAGATGGAGTCTCCTTAAACGACACTGATTCAACAGGGACCAGTCGGGAGAGGCGGGACTCTGGCGTTGGGGCCTCACTGACAAGACCACGGTGAGTAGCTGTTCAGACATTTAAAAGATCCATTGGGTTTTGTTTTTGTAGTTTTGGGCCTCATTTTTATTGGTTATTATAACATTTTACTCGCCAAAGTAATGACTAAGATCATGCCGACATCACTACAGTGAAATCAAAGACAAAAACAAGATAGGAAACAAGTGGTCAGACAGTCAGGCAGATTGTAAACAAGTTTACCTGATCATCAAAACCACTTTTTTGAAGGTAAAACCTAAAGTGAGGGCACACAAAATGTCAACAATAGTCATTGCAAAGGTAAACTGTGGTGTGGTAGGTCAAAGGTTAACCAGAAAGTTAGTCTAGAAACGTTCTTTAAATTTCTTTAAATTGACCTGGCAAGGCCTTTACATTGACTCAATTACTAACTAACTCTGTGTCTCTCATTCTTTACTGGTGTTTTCTACCCATCCCAGTCTTCGGTGGCCCAGTTTCCGAACTTCTGATCATCTCAACCAGCCGGCATCTTCACTGCAGATCGGGAGCCAATCAGCGGGCCAGCTCAGCCTGCTGCAGAAGTTCTCTTTGCTTCGCCTCACCGCCATCATGGAGAAATACTCAATGTCCAATAAACATGGCTGGACATGGTGGGTGTACACTCTACCACATGCATGTGGATCATATCACGTCTTTGTGCGTATGTTTCTCACCTCTTCTCTGCAGTGTGGCTATTTGCTAATATTCTATGCATTAATTCTTAATTCAGGGAATTTACAAGATGTGATGTCAAACAGTTAGACATCACTTTTGCTCATTTTTTCACTGAATTCTCCTATACAAAAATCTCTTTTACTCTTCTCTTCTTATTGCCTTATTATCTTTCATGCCAACTAAGGAAGATAAGCTCTGTTTGTGTGTGACAGTTTTTGAAATGGCCTCTGCTTCCTTCAACTTCTCTACATCAGAGCTGAAACAGCAGGACTATATGCACAATCAACATCTTCCCACATGTTTTAAAAACCATAACATCCACTTCACTTAGCAGCCAGTTACAATGGGTTCGTGCATGATTAGTTTATCAAAGGCATCAATGTCGCTCATAAACTGGCTTTAGATTCTCAGTCGCATGACCTGCAAGCACAAGCACGTCCTTGTGTTGTTAATGATCAGTCTTGTTCATTTTTATTGTCCCCAAGAGGGAAATTCTGTTGACCAGCAGAGGAAGAGATAGATAATGAAAGCAGAGGCCGCTCTTTCTCCCACACACTTCCCTAATTATTTTCTGTCTATCGCTCCCAGGTCTGTGCCCAAGTTTATGAAGCGCATGAAGGTGCCAGACTACAAAGAGAAGAGTGTGTTTGGTGTTCCCCTCATCATCCATGTCCAGCGCTGTGGTTTTCCGCTCCCTCTGTGTTTACAGCAGGCCCTCAGCCACCTCCGAACACACTGTCTGGACCAGGTTAGAGAGGAAAACAGCTTTTACAAGACTGAATTAGAGTCTGTTCATTTCCTCTCACTGTAGGGCTAAACTAGTTATTCACATTTCAAATATGAGACAGCTGACACAAAGCAAATAAGTGCCTTGTTTTTTGTTCCCATCTTCCCCATTGGCTTTGCCCGACTCTTCTTTCCTTCCTGTGGCAGGTGGGATTGTTCCGCAAGTCCGGCGTGAAGTCTCGTATTCAGGCTCTGAGGCAGCAGTGTGAGCTGTCCCCTGACTCTGTAAACTACGAGGACCAGTCAGCTTACGACGTGGCCGACATGGTCAAACAGTTCTTCAGAGACTTGCCAGAGCCTCTGCTAACAAGCAAGCTGGGGGAAACCTTCCTGCATATTTACCAGTGTAAGTTGCCTCGGAGCTATGAATGCTGCAACATGTTGGCGCAGCTGACGCCATATGCCTCAGAGGAAGTGACTGTAAAGTTTTTAATTGGTTAGCTGGCTTTAGTGGAAATTCAAGTTAGCAAACTGTGGGTCATTTGTTCGTTTGTTCAGAGTTTCAAATCATCACAGTTTTCCCAAGGTGCTCTGGCCAAGGAGATAATTTGAATATGGATTGGTGACAGCCAACCAGTAAAGTGATATTAAGCTCACAGGCTGACACCGTTAGCCAAATCTGACAGAAACAGTGTCCAATTTTAGCTACTTACCGGATGTATGATTTATGTGTATGTAATTTGCATATGTGCACGAAAAGACTACATCAAAGATTGGATGTTAGGAAGTGTGACCTATTTTTTGATCCGTTGTTGCTTCTTGCTCTTTGCTTTTGACTTTAGATGTCCCAAAGGAGCAGAGGTTGCAGGCCGTCAGGGCGGCCATTTTGTTGATGCCAGATGAAAACAGGGAGGTTCTGCAGACATTGCTCTACTTCCTACGCGATGTCACTTCCTTGGTGGAGGAGAACCAGATGACGCCAATGAACCTGGCTGTTTGTCTGGGGCCTTCGCTCTTCCATCTCAGCATACTGAAGAACGAGACGCTGTCGCCAAGGTACATATACGAACTGATCAAAAACAATGATCGAAGGGTGTTATTATTATTATTATTATTATTATTATGAACTGCTGGGTTGTCCCCTCTACACTGACCTTCAAGAACTGGTTTAATGAATCAAAGCCTTTTATTGATTTGGGGAAAATAACTATTGCTGTGTTAAATAAACTATAACATGGGGTCCAAGAGAAGATTATATCCTGATTTTATGATGTTAGATTAACAGTTTAGATTAACTTTAAAACCACATTATTTATTACTCTTTATTTATTATTTGTTACTCTTCTTTTTTAAAACATTTTTATATAATCATTAGAATCTAAATAAAGGTGAATAGTTATTAAGATAAAATAAAAAACAGCTGCATTCACAAAGGCAGAATAGTGTTTTTTTTTGACTTGTTAAATGGCTTTACAGACCCTGTTGATTTTCTTCATATGTCTTATTTTGTTGTTGTTTTTAATTCTGCTTATTATTTATTTGTTTATTTACCAATGCCCATTAATTAACATTTGAGTTTACACATCAATGTCAATGTACCAGAGTTAGCAAATGAGCTAAATTTCTTTCATAGTCCCTGGTCAGGTTATAACAAAAGGGTGCCTAAATATTACAATTGTGGCCGGTCGTAGTACTACTTGTAATAGGAGTTGTACAAGTACTGTCAACCAGTGTTACTACTCCTATTACTGCTATTATGGTCTCTTATGTAATTTGCCACCATGACAAATTGAAGGTTCAGCCATGTTATTTTGATGTTATTTATGTTGGTTGCTGTACATATCAGTAGAGACATTTTATAGTGATGTGATCACTAATTTTATAATGATCAGCTAACTTACATAATATCTTTATGCATGTTTGGGAACTTGCATTCTTCTGTCCTTCCAATGTTGATGCTCACACAATTTATGTTCTGCATATTCTGTATAATTTCTATTCGTCAAGGTCAATCCAAAGAAAGTACACTACGGGCCGCCCCGATCAGAAAGACCTGAGTGAGAACCTGGCCGCCACCCAGGGCCTGGCACACATGATCACTGAGTGCCAGCATCTCTTTCAGGTCAGGATTCACAATTTACAGCAGTATTTTATTGCTTTTATATTATCAATATATGAAGGGTCGGCAGTTTTTAGGGTTGTTTCCATAAGAGCGAAAAATTATAAATGACATAAGTACAATTCCCTGTATGAATAATGCATGACCATGTCTTCATATATGCATATAACAGATAAAAATTACTGACTATGGGAAGCGGAGCGATGTTTCCCCTGCTGAGTTGTTATTATAAAAGGCAACAGGATAATTGTGTGTAATGAGCTCATTTCTTAAATCATCATTACCTTAAAGATGTAGGTGTGTAGAGTACAGTATATACTGAAACTGTCAGTGAAAGCCTTACAGTGATCAACATGCTTGATCAGTGTGAATTTTTAATTTTTAATGTGGTTTTAAGAGTTTTCAAATAAGCATGAATGGTTGAATCATTTTACCCCACAGAGGACAGTGTATAATTCGTCATTATTTTGACTGGTGTTGGAGTTTAAAGGTTTGTGTGGGATGACAATATTTGAAAGGACAGTGGATATTAAACTGTTGTTCCACTTTTGTATCAAATAATACTTTGCTTGAACTGGTATAACGTAATGTATTTTTAAATCTCTGTGATTTCCATGTATAGTATTTTATTATTGCTCCAATAGCAAATGGTCAACTCAGTTAAATTGCAATTTATTTTATTTGTCAAAATCTATTTTTTGATTTAGACACGGTAGCATTTAGGCCTGAGCTGATGTGATGTGATGTGATGTGATGCGTGTCCTCCTGCTGTTCCCCAGATCCCAGAGGAGATGGTGACCCAGTCTCGCAACTCCTACATGGAGGCTGAGCTGATGGTGCCCCCGCTGGACGAACTGTGCAAGGCTCACGAGGAAGTGGATGAGGACGAGGAAGTGGATGAGGACGAAGAAGGATCCTATCATGCACACCTAGAAAGGCTGATCCAGAGCCTGCTGGAAGAGGCCAAAGATAAGAGCAAAGGCTGGGTGTCTCGCTCAACTGCTGACCATACAGAACTGGCATTTAAAAAGGTATGTGGTCATTGAATTCCTGGAATTTCATAGGATTTTGGGAGGGGCTGGTAAGACAGATGGGACAACAGGGAATATCAATGTCTTTTTAACAGTGTAATTTCAGTTGATAGCTTCTCCACAGGAAGCACAACTCCAATGCAAAAGAATGATTTGCACCTCTCTCTGTGCGTGGAGACCAACACACACATTCAGATTATACATGATCAGATAAGGGAATGAGCATTTTTGTCATGATATGTTTGTGTGTAAGGTGGGAGATGGTAACCCTCTAAGGCGGTGGCGAGTGTGTGTTGAGGTATCAGCAACTCCCAGTGAGGTGCTGCAGCGGCTGCTGAGAGAGCGCCCTCTGTGGCAGACTGAGCTACAGCAGGAGAAGGTTCTGGAGACGCTGGATAAACAGACAGACGTGTACCAGTACTCCTGCCGCAACATGGCACCTCAACCCAGCTGCGACTTTGTGGTACTAAGGTCAGGATTAATGAATTTAAATAGTTGCGTGCTTTGTGTGATTTGGAATTTGTTATCTAAAATATTATTCATTGTTGAACAGTGCATAGCTTTGAAGGCACTGTAAACAATCATTTTACAATGTCAATATCGACAGATAAAAAATAATTGACAGCGATAATCACAACATGTATTTTTAGACTATTACTATTCAAAACAACCTGCTCAAACATTTCCTAAGGTACATAAACATTTCTAAAATACTGTACTATATAAAAGAACTACAAAGATTAGTCTACGGAAAGAAAATGAACTGGCAAATATTCTATATTTTTTAGTTTTGGACAATTCATTAGGTGTTTGATGACATCACCTTGGGCTCTGGGTTACTGTGACGGTCATTTTTTATTGTTGTCTGATGATTTTTCAACCAAAAAATTATCGATTATTCAAGAAAATAATCTGCAGATTACAATGTATAAAGTTGATAAACCATTATTAGTTGCAGTTCTCCCCGAAAAACTATGTCTCACATTCCCACATTAAAAGCCTGACTAAGCTCACAGTATTTCTCTTTTTTTTTTGTCTCTCTGCCCCCTCAGATCATGGCGTACAGACCTGTGTAAAGGCTCCTGTGCGCTCGTGTGTGTGTCTGTCGAACATGACGACAGCCCACGCATAGGATCAGTGAGGGGGGTGGTGCTGGAGTCACAGTACCTCCTCGAGCCCTGTGGGACCGGGAGGACCAGGCTCACACATATCTCCAGAGTGGACCTCAGGTGTGGGCGGACTTCAAGCGTTCTCATAGTCAAGGTTTCAATTAACATTGCATTCATTAACGTGTGTTATGTGCTTTTCTTGCTACAGGGGAAGATCTCAAGAATGGTACAACAAGGCATTTGGTCACCTGTGTGTTAATGAAGCCCAGATGATCCGCTCCTCTTTTCAGTCACTAGATCAGACGAGCACTGAGGCAAAGATCTGAAACCCAGAAATCAAGTTTTGGGTCACACTGCCAGAGCAGTTTTACCTGAGAACCAGTGACCCAGACCACAATCAGTGACCCAGGAGGGGAATCATCCAGGCAGTGGACTTTGATGTCTTTTCACGCTGCTGAGCCACACTGAGCTTTACTGTACCATACTGAGTTACAGACAGTCACACACAGAGGAGGGGAGAGTGTCTTATGTCATGTATTCCAGTAATTCTTCAATACTTATTTATCTCATAAATGATGATTTTCAAAGCCCATTTTTGCACCACGGAACAAATGTTGCTTTCCAGTTCCAAACATAAAATAACTTTCTTTGAGCCATCAATGTTTCATATACTTGTCTCGTAACGATGTGCATTATTAGAACAATGAGGTTGCATAGACATAGAGTATTTTCTGTATTTATTCTTCCAAATTCTCATCTACTAATCCAAAATATTGCAAACAAGATGACCTAATAAGACAGCCAGCACCAGCATGTGTAATCATGATATGATTTCCATAGTGTTAAGGTTAATGTTTAATCTGCAACACCGTAATTTGATATCACTTTTAAACTATAGTTATTGTAATAGAGTATCTACCTGAAGCATACACACTAAAGATTGTGTCATATGTACAATCAATAATGACATAATAGTTACATATACTTAAGGTGGAATACCCGTATTTCTATTGATCATTTTGAGAAATCTATCTGAACTCCATATCTTTAAAATATCACATGGGCGGCCAGTGGAATATACATGACTGAAACAATCTTTGTTTCAGTATGTATTATTGAACAGACCTGAAAAAGCAGGACACATTCAGCCCTGATCTGCTTTTACATAAACAACACTGGCAAAACCCGATATTGACATCTTATTTCTTGTTATAGCCGTCCATCTATAAACTAATGCAAACTGGATCTCAGTGATCTACATCAGCTTTTTTACCCCTCTTACAAAGCTGTTAACGTATCACGTACATATGCACATTTTTTAAAAAGGCACTTAATTGTGGTTTCTACAGGTGCTTTGAAAACAGTCCCTGTCAATGGGAATGACCGGGACTGGTACAATATTGGGTACATGTCAGCATTACATTGTGAAAAGTGCACTAGTTTAGGAAAAACAAATACATAAGGGATGTGGATCACAGAAAGGGGAAACACTCATCGGGTCCATAAATGTGCTTTAACCCTGTTATGGATACATTGTGTTGGATATCACTGTTGATTTAGTTCTCTGTCACTATGTTCAGTGTTAATCTTATCTAAATGTTATTTTAAAGTTATTATTATCATTATATCAATATCACCGTTGCTTTTTTTTGCTGTCATGTTATACAATGTCTAAGACATGTGATCATTTCACTGCTTCTGAGAAGCATGTTTGAAATTGTGTGTGTGTGTGTGTGTGAGAGAGAGTGCATGAGTGCATGGATGTGCCAGTTTATCTGCGTTTTAGATAGACGTACAGCCTGTGTTGTAAATATATATGACGCTTTCTGTGCCAGCAGATCAAACATCATAGCTTGTCAGGGTCTTCCTATCATATTGATATGCTGAAATGTGAACTTTCTGTACACCATCCTGCTAAAGCAAAGCAGACTATAGCTTGCTCTGCCAACGGCGCTGCCTTGGCTTTTTTTGTTTAATCTGTAGGCAGTATTGCTATGGTGTTGCTATGATACAATATCTCTACAGTGCCAGCAAAATTCTGCGTGGATGCTGTTGGCTGGGGAACAGTGTGGCATGTGTGTAAATATGTGTGTATGAGAGAGGCGAAAAGGCAGACAAGGTGTGAGTGAGTGACTCTGACGTGAGCCCTCGGCTGTGTGGGGTGAGGCTCCAAACCTAGCTGAGTACCTGAGACCTGGGTGATTTCTTCTTGGCTATTTCAGAAAACAGAACCATTGTTTTGAAACAAGACAATAAAAATATCTAATAACTCAACAAAAACGCTGTCTTCTGTATGAAAAGGCATATTAACATGTAAGTCACAGTAAATACATAATGTGCTGTATGTCACGCATAATATTTTCCTTGTTATGTGCACTTCTGTCCATCGAGTGGTGCTGTTGCCCCACTAGTGTCTGAAGGTCATGAATGAATCTGGAAAGTATGCCATGCAAAATGTTTTTAGACGAGTGAATGAAGAGCCGTCAAAGCATCAGGGGCTTCTCTCTAAGGACATTTTCACTGTGTCCTTTCCATGGATAGATTTAGGAAACTCAACCTCCACAGCTCAGATCAATACTCAATCACATTTACCTACTTAGCCACGTTAGATGGGGACTTTCACAGAGGACAATGAAGGTGTTTTGATTACAGACGCTGCTCTCCCCAGGCTCCCTGTACGCCAGGGTGTCTGTTAGTTTTGTAACAACACAGAAATGAGTGAAACATTGCTTCATTAACTTCTACCTCATTTAACATGTCAGTGATTTTATCTAGAAAGTAGGGCACACTGTTACAGCTCCTGAATGTCAATGATCCTCTGCACTGTGGGGTGTACTTTAGCTCCACCACTCCATGGAATAATGAGGAACATCATGTTGTAAATTACACTAAGAAAAAAAAGGATTACTGACTAGATGAATCAAGCATTGATTTTTCCAACTGAATCCACTTTACTCCAGAGGGGTACTTTTGTTTTAGAGCCACACAGGTCTAAGCTGATGTTTACATCATTGACCGTGCAAAAGAAAGTGCAATTTGAATGACTGTGCTGGCTCTCAATGTGTAACAAACAGATGAAATGCAGAGGGATTTAAAACTCTTTCACACAGTGTGACCCTGCAAAAGGATTTGAGGATGTCCTCTTCTGGAGAAAAAAGGAAGTGTGTGTCCAGCTACTTTTCCCTGTCCAAGAAATCTTTAGGCCTACAACCTGGCACTAAATTTATTTTAAAATAAATTAAAATAAATTGTTAACTTTTTTGTTTGTATTGTTTTACTGTTTATTGGATAGCGAGCCACAGTATGAAAAAGATATTGACAGGCCTACTGCAGCATGAAAAAAGTCAATATTAATAGATTTTTCTTTCATGCACTAACATGTAGAACTACAGTTTACATAATTTGGGGTTTAAACAGAAAGTATTATGCTAGCTGCAATACAGTCATTTAGTTAGGTGGTCTACAACTTAAGACCCATTTTTTAGCCTATATATCTTCACATTTTTACCCAATTGGCAACATTTATACAAGTATGCCGTATTAAGTATTGGCAGTTCCTGTTTGCAATGTACCCATGGAAGCACAGACAACTATCACTGATGGTACTTAAGAAAAGTTGAAAACACAGTGATTCTTAGGAAGGTTCTGGAGTTAGTTAGGAGCATCTTTTCTTTGATGTCAAAGCTGATTTCAACATCGGATATAGTCTTGAAGCGTAAGCAGGCTAAATCTAAAAAAAAGTGTATCTATGGGATCACATTTTGTTTCACGTTTGTTCACATTTGATTGAGTTAGACCTACCAGTCAATATTTTTTTGTTAGCCTACTTCTACCATTTTAATGTCTCTTTTTGTTTTTTAATGTTTTTTAAGTTATTTGTGTATATGTATGTTTGTACATGTAGCCTACTGTTCAAAAGTAAAACTGAATCAGTACAATGGTGACAAAAAACTTTCATTACAATAAATGGTAAAATATTTAGGCCAAATCGTAAATAGGTTTGATAAAATATACATTGGTCACCAAAAGAAACTCAAAATGCACAAAACTTATATACTTAATATATATATTACATTTAATTAATACAGAACAACTTAAGCAATTTAATATTACACGTGATTTCTGAATGCAGAAAATGCCTATAGCATTTAGAAAATATTGAGTAGGACTATATTAAACTTTCAAATTGTTTATGATGAGGATATCATTAAACTAATCATTTGTCTTGCTTTCCCTGCATTTTCCTTTTGTTCTTTCCTCCATCACAAATATAAAGATATTATTGTAGGAGTGATGGCTAATCTTAACCTGGCCTCAATTATATACCAGACCAAAATCTCATACAGACCAGTGCAGAGGTGCCTCATTAAAGAGACCATTCACATTTTACACAGTTGATGTTAGTGGTGATGGACTGTGGATGTTGTTTAATGTTGTTACTCTTTATCTGCACCATGTTTACATTATGGAAGTTGAGCAGGGAGAGAGAAAGAGCAGAGGAAACAGATGTATCTCCTCTGAGACTGGCTAATCCACTGCCTTCTTCGAGACAACCATGATAAGGTCATTAATGAATAAATTATCCAATGAATGAATTATAGATGAGACCATGTTGGCAGTGGTGTCCACAGTATCCTTGAGTGTATGCCTTGGTTTTGGCATACTATAACCAAAACAATGCACAATTAAGGAGAAAATTGTGTTAAGCATGCTTCAAAAGAAGGCATATTAAAAAAACAAATCTGTCACTTCATTTTGGTACAAAGATTGACAGTTGGAGCTTGTTCTAGTGTTTAAGTGATTATTTAACACCGCTGCACAGACTGCATCGGATGAAAAAGCTATGCTGACGTTAGTACCATCATAGGCATAAATATCCATGCAGATGTGGTATACATTAAGTACATTGTTTTCACTATTTCACATGTACTTATGTTACCAAGGCCCCTGATCACATTTGTTACTTTAATGGCAAGCAAGTTTAGCATGACCGTGGAAATTTCCTTATACCGCGTAAGTGTCAAGTCTTCAAGTTCGGTATTGTTGCTGTCCAGAAGCATAGTTGGAAGTTATAGCAACATTGGAACCCTTTCTCAGGCTTTTTGGCCCAAGTGCTTCACCTGCAAACACATAAGATTGTTAGTAGAAATATTCAAGAACAGAGTATGACTGCTTACTTTTACATTGGTTTCACAGAGCAAAGCATCCAGCCTTTAAAAAACCCAGAAGGTCATTTCTTAATACTTAGAGCTGTTCTGGTATTTCCTGAATCCTCAAAGACACAACCAACCAAATATTCTAACACTTTGCTGAAAACAGCTGCCTGCTGCAGCCGAAAACAACATGGCAGTGACGGTGAACCAAAACAATAACATTGCGACTAAACAATGTTCTGAAACTCACCAAAACGCTCCATAAAGCCAAGGGGAGCTGCAGAGTTGGGTGATAATTCTCTATAGGTTCATCACTACAAGCAATCCCCTTTCACATGTATATTGTTATTATAAAAATATTGATTATAGCTGCTTCAAGATGATCAACTTTTTTTTATTACTCAAGTATGTAAGTATATTGCTGGCAGGTCACACTAAGTACCTGACTGGATGTAGCCTTCACAACATGTTGAAATTTAGTGCATCTTCACCTTTTGCTTTGCATGGTGTGTTCATACCATAGAGTGTATAAAATGGTACATACCCACAGTGTCCTGACAGTAAGTCCACGAGTGAAAACACCTGTGTAGGCAGACCATCCTCCCCAAAAAATATGTCTGTAGGCCTATAGGTCGTCTGTGCAAGCAGTTTAATACAACCCGTATTTATGTTTATCGGTAGGAGGCAACCTCTAGTGGCCGTGGTAATTATGATGGGAGCAAAGGAGATAGCCTTAACCAAGTAGTTTCAACACTTTCCTATCTCAAGGCATCAAATACCAACTCACTGAGAAAGCCTGACAAAGCATCCGTATTTGACTTCAGCGTCCATGTGAAACGCCTTTAGCTTTAGGACAAGATCATGGTTTTGGTTAGGTTTAGGAAAAGATCCGGGTTTTGGTTAGGTTTACCTGGTTAGGTTTAGGAAAAGATGTGTTTTGGGCTGAGGAAAGTATATTACATGACGGCAGATGAGTTACATTGGAGTTATTTGAAAGCCCATGGACACTGAAGGGTACCTTGTGTGTCAAATACCGACGCTTTGTCAGGCTTTCTCAAAGCACAGGTATTTGACACCCTGAGATTAGACTGAACTCGTAGTTTTGGTGCCTGAACCTAACCAAACCTCGACTTTTTCACAACGTTAACCACGTCTTTATTTTTGCCCGTGATGGCAAAGGTGCAGTACTTCTGTTGGTAGTACTTTCCAACGGTCACATATGTCATTTTGGGGGACATTGGCAAACAACCTACTATGTCGTTTAGCTTTGAGGAAGTGTTGCTGTAGCTGTGCCATGTGTGTAGAGGCCCTTTAATTTACTAATTTTCCACACTATTCACCAATGTCAACTGGTAAGTACAATTTTCATTCCAAAGCCTTTAAAGCTATATCACACTTTGGTGCTTTAGACTTTAGATTGACCTAACTCAGTGGCTTTTATTTTAAGGCTGCACCATCACATAGCAAATTCTGGTTGTATCGTACACAGTAATTCAACATGACAGATTTTATGTCTTTGGAGTTGTTGAGATCTGGAGTAGAATTTTTAATAAAGTTTTGAGGGTTTTAACAATGCTTGGCCGCATAATAAATGGACTCATCAGGGGATGGAAGGCCCATGGGGTAGAAGAGATTGATATGTATACTGGATTATTGTTGTGTATGCTGACAACAAAAGCACAGATGCTGCTAACAAATAGAAGTGTTTGTACACTGGTTGTTGTTCTCTGTTGTACACATTTTCCGAGCTGGCCTTGCAAACTCAATAGCCTTCAGGGTCATATAGTATATACGTAAGCTTTTCCATCAAACTGAAATGCCTGTTTCATCTCATCTGGGTTATTCAAGGCCACTACCACAGTTCAGGAGCCCAGCCCAGTCAAAGAGCCGAATCCTTGATCCCAGATCATGACCCCTGACAAAGAACTGGATACTTCATCCCTGGTGACAGACCAGACCAAACCAAAGGAAGTGTTATCACAAACCAATGCCTCTCGCCATTTAGATAATGAGGAGGTGACATAACTTGCATAAAAGAATATGTTTCAAAAATCTTGCTATTGGAACATTTTGTTCCTGTACATTAAAAATATTTTATCTCCAAAATGGCTATTTTTCCTT